TTTTTTTTCTTTTAGAAGCTTTCTCGCCGCCATCTTCTGTGGCTCGTTTATAGGGTCAATGTGGACACCAATCAGCTACATAAGGGTTGCTGCTAGAGATGGTCATTTCTAAGCAACCGTATAGTTCAGCACAGATCATTCTTTAGAGTCATCCTGAAGAATTTCCAAAAGCCCCCGCAGACAGCATCTCGTACCAGTTCTCATTTTACTGTGGCGGTCTGTGCGTTGGAGTATGCGTTTTCATCATTTACACTCTAGCAATGTAATTTTTCTCATTGCCATTGAAGCCGGCGATATAGAGCGATTTATAGGAGGAACAGACCGTGGTTCAATCCGAGCGGGGCTGTTCCTACGATGCTCGGCGGAATCATATTTGCCATCGGAATGAGCTTATTTGTCATTGCTATCGATAATCTCGATCAAGCAATTGCATATCCCATCTGCGCAATGGCGCCAAACTTGGTCGTGTTGAGCTGGAGCATACTCTACTTTAAAGAAATTACGGTAATGTCACTGAACAAATTTCATAAATTCTATCCCATATTCAGGGTCGACGAAATTTGACATTTTTGGCGAGTGCATACGGGCTTACTCTGACAGGAGTAATACTTATAGCCATTTCAAAAGAATTTTCCTTCGCTTGAGTTTTTTTGTTTACAATAAAACTCTTTCTCGACTTCACATATGTCTCTATGCATACAGTTTGTACTGAGTAAGGCAGGCACCTTGCAGTTGCTAATTCTAATTTGTGGCTTTTTGCTAGCTTATTTTTGAAATCGCTTGCATTTGTGAGCGAGAAGAGAGTAAAAAAGGGATTACATGCCTTCTTTCATCTATGGCTTCATTGTAAACAGCAGTGGTTGTATGATTGTGTAAGTAATCAGTTGTCATTGCTACCTTATGGATACTTCTGAATCAAGGTTTTTTCTTTGAATCTTTCCATTGTTCAAACAGCAATCATATATGAGTAGTTCTTAGTGTATATCTGCTTACAGGATTGCTTTTGGACAAATACATGCTTATGACCAAATTAAAATCTTCACTTTTACAAAGTACTTAGCAGATAGGGCTTGTTGTCTGCTCAACTGGAGCATACCTAAGTCTCCCAACTGGCGCTTCTACCGCCAAGCTATGCTTGTGACATAGCTAACATTTTTTCTGAATGAACCTAATGAGATCACTCTTCAATTTCTAGATGAGAGGGACAATGCTAAGCCGAGGCTGATTCACATTCAAAATGAAAATATTGTTCGACTTACGAAAACAAAACGAGTAAAGTAAATTGAGAAGACGAAGTAAGAAAACTGGGGAGACGGTCAAATGGCGCGTATTGATCGATTGTATAATTAGAAAAAGCAAAAAAATAGTTCAAAACTAGTTTGCTACTTCCGGTTCCGACTAATGATTCTCCATTATATTTTCTGATATGGGGACAATTTTCGAGTTTGGAAACCCCGCTTATGTAAAGTACAATTTCCTTCTGTCTGTCAACATACATCCAAAAAACTGTAAGCGCTAACGGCGAGCCAGCGTTGAGCAGCAACACATTTTGTTTCAAAGACATCGCATGTGCAAAGTCTCAATTGTTGACAAATTCAGTTTTTCAAAGTCTAAGAATTAAGCAACCTAGTTTTCGTGGGCAAAGATTGAAGCAGAATTATAAGAGAGACGGTCAGAAGGCGCGATTTCCGCAGTCATTAGTTTAACTGCCCGATTTAGAGCTAAGCGGTCTTTCACGAGTACCAAACAAAGTGCTCTAGCTTACTTAATATCTGTTTTTGACCTCAACACTTATGTTTGGATTCGTTTTTGAATAACAAGATGGGGCAACCCATAAGACAATCATACAAATCTTGATAAAAAACTGAATTGCTCCTGTAACATTATAAAATACTAAAAAAGCGCTAATTGGTGTCCATCTGGCAATAAAAAATCGCGCATTTTGACATATACCCGTATTGTTAGCTGTTCTCCATGGAAAAACAGGCTAGATCGGTGCATGCAGCGAGGTCAATACAATCTTCAACTCAATCAACAAGGTCGTAGCGCTACAAAGACGGAAGCAGGATGCCACATAATGCCCACATGCTCAGCAAATTTTTTCAAAATCGTTAGGTATGGCATGCTGACAAGTGTTGTTATGTTTGTATAGTGGTAATGCTTTTACAAATTTGCTGTCAACTTTTACATGCATAAGCCAAGCGAAAGGTACTTCGAGCTTTTGCCCACTTCTTTTTCCTACAAAGGAAGAAATATTACATACTTCCTGAGAAAAGAGATGTCAACTTAAAGCAAATATCGCCTGATTTCAGTGGCGGTCCCAGGATTTTCGTCCGGGGAAGGG